AAACTGAAGAATAAGCTTTTCTAAGATATGCGTAGGACACAAAAATAAGCCAAGGTCATGCTTTAAAAACGAAAATGTCTTCCAATTTAAATTATGTGCAACATCTAGGCTTTGGTTGTTTGGGGCTATTTTTTATAATTTTGCCAACAACTACAACAAAAAGTTCATGGATGTCAACACAATGTAGGGGCAAAACCATGTGAACAGGCCTGGCACCAGCAGTGAACAAAACACACAGGCGGGCAATGCCCCCTTCTCAGCCAAGAGTGCAGCCTACTGTGCAGAACCCACCCTCACCTATCCCAGCTCAATGCCATATAGCTTTTAGGTCACAAGGTTCTACGTTTCCCCTCTCATAAATCACCTTCCAGATTCTTCAGTGTAACCTAAGTCTCTCTCATGTCCAATCCTCTCAGACCCTCCTATTGTTAGAAAAAATGACACCAAATTTCCCAAAATCTCATTCTGGCAGCTTTGACCAAACTGTTCTTTGCAATTCTCAAAAGCCAGAATTGTTCTAATTCTAATAGACTAACAATGGAATACACAAAACTGACTAAAAAGAAAGGACATGTTTCATCACAAGTTCTTCTTATGTTGGTCAGAGTTACATTGTTATGGGTCTATAGCATATATCCGCATTATAATAAATAACATAGGGTCTAACCACATTACTTCTGCCTTAACACACTGTACCTGAAAGACAGCATGAGGTAAAACTGACTTGCAAATTCCTTTCATTTGAGCCCCTTTTCTTTCCTCAGCATCTTTACCAGAAGGGAGAAAAGAAAAAAGGAAACAGATCCTTGAATTTTCTCATCAGCAAGAAAAGTTTTTGCATTTGCTGGCTATTGATGCGCGTCTATGAAAATGACTCCTACCACTTCAGCCCCAAAAGGAATCTGATCAGAGGCTGCTCTAAATTGCTTAAAGTTATTTTACTCCTACTTTGCTCAAGGCCTAATACCATTAGAATTCTCTTCCTGCAATCTACAGCTTCCTTCCATAACCCACCACCCCTCCACCTATGTATGCAAACGTACACACACACATATACATAGACACACAAATTATTCTCTAATGTTTTAAAGGGGAGACGAGAGGAGGAGAAGTCCCATAATGTAACTACTATATTAAAAAGAAGTGGCAGGCGAGAATAATAAGGGAGGGTGTCAAAAGTGAAATACAGTAGTAAACTGAAAAAAACACACACGCTAGCTACTGTTCTGTGATGGGGGTGTTAACTGAACACAGAGAGAAAAGGAAAGAGAGAGAACAAAAGGGTGTTAAGGAGCAAAAAATTATTTTTTTAACCTCCTCCAAAGATTTGATTTGCGTTAACTTCGGCGCAGACAATGCACAGAGGAAAATGGGCTGAAAAGTGCCATATATAGCTATTATGTTCTAAAATTAAAAACTATTCACAACAATTGCATCTATTCACTGCTATCTATAAACATTCTCCTTAGTAAATGGCATTCAGTATTTTTTTGTGTTTTCCTAATTTTTAAACTTGCATTATTTTGACACAGAAGTGAAAAAACATCGAGAAATCTTTAAAAAGATATTCAAGGGTTTTTTAAAGAAATGTAGTATGCTTGACTTTTTCTCTTTTTCTTCCATCCCACCACCCCCATCACCACCACATATACACATACGCAAAACTCACTGTCTTGCTAATATGCCAGAAGACAAGGAATGGATCTTAAAAATCCAAAAGGAAATGTTACATTAAATGGTCCAAAACTCTGTTGTCTTTGTATTCCTAGAATGAGCGAGCAGATAAAAGCCACATGTGAAATATACATTGCTGTGGGTCTCGACAGGGTTTTGGAGCTGCTCTTGGAGATTTCCACCAGAGCATTTTGCTGGCACTCTTTTTCTTAGCGTGTATTTTTTTAAAAGCGAAGAGATATCAAAATAAAAACTTACCCACATTCCGAAGCGAGAAGACACATGGGTTCTTTTTGTTTTGTTTTGTTTTTTAAATATCCCCATAGTAATTTCTGACTTAAACACCCATCAATCAATTGTAATTCAGACGGCACTGCCTACTTTGGGGTATTAGGTGCATGTGTGTATGTATTTGTAAAGTTCCAAAAGGCTGGTAATACATCTTAGCTGGTTTTCTTATTTATTTCTAAGTCTTCCAACTATAAAATCATTAACAAATGCAAAAGAGCAAAAATAACAAATCAATGCAATTTCCAAGTTCCTCTCAAGAGCTCTGCCTAGGTGAGCCAAATGTATGAACTACTTGTCAGAACACGAACAAACAAAGCCCACCCTAAACCAAGTAACCTCTATTATTATTATAAGCATTATAATGCTTGAGATGAAAATTCAAAAATACTCATTTAATGCAAAGAGTCTTGAAAGTAACAATAGAAAAGTCCCCAAACAATAAAGGAATGTTTGTGAACTGATCACTCAAGGGATCTTTGCACCAGCTCTGTGTCAAGGAAGAAGCAGGAAAAAAAAAAAAAAAAAAAGCTCCTGCAACTTTACAGACACTTTGTTCCTCTGACACATCAACTGCATGGAAGATATGCTGGCAAAAAGACTGAAGGTTCTGGGATCCTGAGTAGCCAAGTAATTGTGCTTTAGACTCAAAGGGTTCTTTTCAGCACACCACAGATGACTACTACCTTTAACACAACACTCAACATTCCAGAAGAGGTTTCTTCCTTCCCTTCAATCCTTCCAACACACAAGTTGAAGACTAAGAGGGAGTTAAGCCTTTTTTCCCCCTACTTTTGCCCAGGGATGCCCTCTTAATAGAAAATTTGGGTGTGTGTGTGTTTCCGAGGGGTGCCCTCTTAATTCAAAATTTGTGTGTGTGTGTGTGTGTGTTTCCCAGGGGTGCCCTCTTAATCCAAAACTTGTGTGTTTCCCCCTTAACACAGGAGGCAATGATTCTTATCACTTTCAATTTACATTATTTGATAAACTATTTTTTTAAATATATTATTCTAGAGACAACACAAAAAAACCTTAATTCAGATTTTTTAAAGTCTCTAAATATTAGATGTATTGACACAAAATAAAGAAAAAAAACTTTCAGAATGGTACTTTGACCAATACTGCTTTACTTTCTATCACACTCTACTTCAGCCAGTATGAACAAGGAGCTAACTCTTTATCCCACACCTGAACCGGATCTCTATTCACACCCACCCACTTTGATCTACTGCCTCAGTAGGTTTTAATTAGGAAACTAGAATGAAATACTTTGGCCACAATGTACATTTAAGTGCCCTGACAGGTTTCCTTTCAATAAAAATCTGATCAAGTATCTTCAAAAATAGACTCTCTTTAGTCCATATTATCACATATGCTTTTATATTTTGATTCTACATTTTATGAAACAAGATCAGCAGGAACTCATACTCGATTAGAAACAAATCCCAACAAACCAAACATTCAAAGTAAATAAGCATCAGAGATCAAAGAAGAAAAAAGAGAGAAGAGGAAAAAAAAAATATATATATATATACACACACACATACTTAGGTTTACTACTCTGGGCTAATAGAAAAAAAAACTAAAAAGTGTGACAAACTGGAAAAAAGCTCTTTTGATATTTGAATGCACAGTCCATAAATCTCTTAAAAGAGCTAAAATAATGCAATTAACAGGCTTGCATTAAGGTTAGGCTTTGGCAAGGCAACCTGGAAGACTTACAGGTCTGAACATCACTTCTAGGTGCTTTGTCTAGAATGTTATGCACAACACAAATAACATTCAACAAAGGAGCTGCGTAGTAATTTTATATGCATTTCAAGACCTGAGTAATTACATATTCAATCAACGGTCACATCTTGAAACTATTTATTTTTTAAAAGAAAAATACAGAGAGCTCTCAAAAAGAAAGCCACTCTGTGTGCCCTCTCCCCCCGCCCCTTTTTATGTGTAACTATCAATGTATATCAACCGAGCATGCAATCATATTTATTGTCACTTTCATTCATGTCATGCCCTTGCTTATATGGTTTAGATATGAATTATTGACTGTTACACTCCTTGTTGTAAAAAATAAATAAATAAATAGATGTCAGGTACTTTGCACTGCTCTAAAGCGAGCGGGTAAGTCAGAGCCCAGCAGAAGCTCCCGCTTTATATAACCACCCCTTGTCCCTCATCTTTATTCCCTGGTTTCAGATTGCCTTCTCAAATCTTTCTTCTTACAAGGGAGAGCTTCACCCACTTTGGAAAATTAAGGATTAAAATAAACAAACAAGGGGGTGTTGCTAAATGTCCTTCCCAGAGCATCTGTTGTTTAAGAACACCTCTGATTGATGACTGCTATTTTTTAATTGTTGCTTTAAAATTTAAATGCCCTCCTGGGATGTGTTATAAGTATGTTAGTCCATGATATGAGGTCTAGAAAGTAGAAAAACAACAGAGTGAATGATCTCATGGCGTTATACTCTCCTAAACCCAACGATTCTCCCTGCAATAAAATCACAGGCCACTCAAATACCGATAACCTAATGTTGTACAGCGCATTCCACAAAGGTATTTGACAACACTTTCTGTTGAGAACCTCTAGTCTGCTGCTTTGTGTAATTACAAGAAAAAAAGGAAAGGAAACTTTAAACAGTTCAACACCCCCATACCCAATTCCAAAAAAATTAGGGTTTTAAAAACAGACCAAAATATATTCCTTAACAAAATGAACTTTTACTTTCATATTTTTGCCCCAAAGATATATCAGTCTATAAATTTCCTTTCAGAATCTATATTTTAGCCCCAATCTCAAAAAGGCTAGAAATAGAGTTGTAGAAAATTAACCAGTAGTGCTTGATAATAACTGTCAAAGAAACTTGATGCTTTCTTTTAAAGAAAGCAGGATTAGGACTTCCTATCAGAATATGAAGGTCAGTCTTGATAGTACTTGTATTCTGAAATTTTAATATTTAAATAATAGATTTGTGAGTGCTGGTTAAGTGATTTCACTGGCCAAAGAAAATGCTAAAATGTTGGAATCTCATTCCTACCTGTTTTTTCTTTGATTTCACACAACACATTAAACAAGGCAGGCTTCATTCTGTGGCAGTTTAAAGCATGTTTTCTGCAAGAAAGAAACAACATGATAGCTTAGGTGGACTCTCAAGATCAAACTGCCGATAATGTACAGGGTGAAAACATTTGAACATTTAGACAAAATTATATACCAAGCATAACTCTGGGACATGCTTCAATTGTTTTTATGACTTAGTATACAGAGTCCCGCCATAGAAAAAGAAATAATGTTAATTAGCAGGGAGAGAGTAGGGATTTAACTACAGAACAGAACTAAGCTAAATTATGCCCATTTAGGGAAAGGGTTTTTTGTTGTTGTTGTTGTTGTTTTTTAAGTAGTTTAATCAAAGTGGAATTCTTAAACCTATAATCCTTCCCAGGACAATGAATACAGCAAAGCCAAAGGCATAGGTTAACAGTTTTGTAAAATCCATGCAACGACCACAGCCTAGGAACTGCCTGCCTCTCGGTCTGTGTGTTTTCAAATTTAATTCATCCATGTGTTCGAATTCATTCCGCAGATGCCCCTGTATTCTCATAAACACAAGATGCTTGAAAGGTCTTCTGAGTAGAACTGTCAATTTATAACATTTCAGTCCCCAAGTTAAAGAGTATGGAAATGCATTGCCAGGGGGCAAACATACCCATATGGGGAATAAATTCATTTCTCTATGTTCACATTATGCCTCTTGTGCACACACTGCTTATTTGCAGGTGTTGAAATTCAATTATTTACAATTAGGACCTTGCACCCATTGGGGGAAAAATAAATGCAATTTTGTCTTTTAGATTAGTGATTTACCTGGTTCGCGTGTGTGTGTGTGTGTGTGTGTGTGTGTGTGTGTGTGTGAGTGTGTGTGTGTGTGTGTGTGTGTGTGTGTGTGTGTGTATTCCAAATGCACTTGAGGAACAAAACAATACCTTTCCTTCTATTTTATTATGGAATCACTTAGTAGAATGATACTGTTTTGGAAACAAGATACTGATCATATCAGCTATTAGTTAAGGAAATTCTGTTTACTAACTAAAATTAATGTGTAAAGATAAAATGGAAAGTTCTGGCACTCAAAACACATTCGATTCTTTTTTAATCCCTTTGAAAGTTAAAAAATAGACACACATCCTCATGAAGAACAGATATCAGAAACACGCTCTATGTACTGTACACTAGGGGAGTAATAAACTCAAAATTCAGGACTAGCAAAATGAACACATACATTATATCTAAAATACTAATGGTTTACTTTTGTAAATAATACACATTTTAAAGGTTTGACTAAGAAAAGGAAAAAAGAACATACTATCTACTAAGTGAAGTTAGGAGTTACATTGTTTATCCAAAAAGAAAGCTTAGTGTTGATTTTAGTAAGTTCTCATGTAGGGTGGAAAAAAAGATGGAAAATGTTTAAAAATATTAAAGACCTTTCCGGGGTCTTTTAAAATAGTTTTCATTAATTCTATTTCTATACATAGGCCCAAATGCAAACAAAAATTCTCACACAGCTTTATAAAAATATTGCATTTTCACAGCACACAAATGGAGCTAGCTATAGAGGAAGAACTAAAAATTTCCCCATCCCAAAATTGTATCTGATCTCTCTCTGCATGTAGGCCATTGAAAGGGAGAAATCGCCAAGCCCTGTTTGTCCTCAGTTTCACAAAAAAAGAGAGCCTGAGCATCAAAAAAGTAGTATCTACTCTTACTGGCCCCTTCCACTTCACGAACTTGTTTTTAAGCCAGTTTATTGGTATGTCTGAGTGTATTTTTCCAGAACAATTTAATAGAGAAATATGTTCCAATTCAAAAGATAATTTGCCAGTGGGAAATCTTCCTCTTACCATACCTATTAGCTTTCCTTCAGATAATAAAATTCAAAAAGTGCACCAATTGATTTTTAAAATTTCCCCATTAAAAAAAAAACTTAAAATAGTTTGAGTCTTTCAACATTTCCAAGTTTTCAAACACCCATAAACCCTAGTACTTTGAGTTTACATGTTGCATGTGCTTGCACTAAAATTGAGTATAATTCATAACATCCATGTTTTTAACTGCTTCTTCTCATTTTCTTAACTCAGATTCTTATTTCACTTAGGCAGAAATACACATAATGATGTCTTCTCCACATTACCAAGTCATCTGAAGTACAGGAGTTGTGTATATATGTTTACAGGGTTTTCAAAGAAAAAAACCGCTACTCTGGAGATATAACAAAGCTGGCTAATCGTACAGATATATGTGGTCATTAGATTTTTAAAATTCTCCTTTTCGAGCTCGGCCTTGGGCAAGCTGTTAGTAGGTTGTCACTTAGTCTCTGTTTTACTTTGAAAGAGAATTTACTGTAAAATCCTGGAGTAGAGAACTATATACCTAGCAGTGGATTAACTTGAGAAGCTACACAGTTTATTATGTTTCCTTAATAAAGACCTTAATGTCTTATAGTATTGAAATACATAAAATTCACACATGCTTTCATTTCTAAGTGGTCCTGAAAGAAGCATGGGGCGAAGAACATGCTTGATTTTTGTCCCCCCACCCCTTTTTAAAGGACCATACATAGCTGTCTGTGTCATGGAAGGTTGGTAAACCGACTCAAATTAGGAGACAATAAAGTTAAACTAAAAATCTGAGTCTCTTAAAAACTAACAAATATGCCTAAAAACAAAATTATATTTTCATTATCTTTTTTAAAAAACAGAATTAAGTGAATGCAAAATATTTTCTGGATAGCTGACAACTACCGACAAAGAAATACCCTGCTTTTTTGTTGTTTTGTATTTGGGGTAGGGGGAAAGAAAGGAGAGAAAATTAATTTTGGACGGGTAAGTCAAGAAAGAAAATCAAACTCGCTGAATTAGGTAAGGAGTCAACTAAATTTGCAAATAAAGTGTTCTTGGGACATTTTATTTTGTAATGTTACAGAGTCCCCTCAACAAGAAGGCATGGAATGCTGTTCAAAACTTGACAATTCTGCTTTCTCTGATACTTTTTTAAAGCAGTAAAAAGTACCGAGGGCCGCTTTTGGATCAGTTGGCAGTATTTTAGGCGTGCCTGTGTGTTTGTGTGGATATAAATGAATACCCCTATATTCACACACACACACACACACACACACACAATATGTACACAGCCACATCTCGGCATGGGCGATTACACTTTCGATAACAACGCTCCTTCAAATTTTACTCCTCCGCCATGTAGTTGCTTGTCAAAATGAGAAAAGAAATAACATTTTTTTTAAAAAAGCGCTGTGGTGATTCGGTTCCCATTGTTTCCCCCTGCGAGAGGGAGAAAAACAAAAAACCCCAAGAAAGGAAAAGAAAAGCCTCCATCTCACCTGGCCTGCGCCTCATCCAAACTCTGGTCTGTGATGGTCATAATTTGCTGTAAAATGTCTCCAATGTCCTGCTTCCTCCCGCCCTCCCCCTCGGTCCCTCCGGCCCCATCCTGCAAGTGCTGGGACAGGCCGGGGTGTCCGGCCATCCCGACCCCAGCATGGGAATGCATCAGCCTGGGCTGCTCGTCCATCTCCAAAGGCTACGGCAGCCCCCGGCTCTTCCTCTTCTGCTCCTCGGCTCGGCTCCTGGGAAGCACCAAGGCTTTTTATCCTTCAAGCTTGTCTTCAAATCCTTTTCAGGATAAACAGGGAAGGGGGAAAAAAGAAGACCAAAAGAAAAAAAAAATCCCTTTGCCTCTAGAGGATGGTGGGAGGATGGGGAGGGGGGAGGGGGAGGGGGCGTGAAGGGGTTGCGGGGTGAGGGTGGGGATAAGGGCTGGTGGGGAAGGGTGTTGACTCCAAAAAGCAAGAAAAATAAACCACCTTCCCACTTGGCGAAAAGAAATCAGAGCTGGCTTTTGGTTTTTCAGTCCGGTCTCCTTTGCAAGGCAGAAATGGGCTCCCGGCGCTTAAATCTGTGGCTTAATCCTTTTGCAAATATGCATTGATCGGGAGGAAGGCAGGGGGATTGCAATGCAAACTTTCCCCCCCACCCCCCGCTGCCCCCCACCCCCACTCCGGGCCAGAGTGATCTCAAAGGGGGTGGGCTGTTGCAAAAGCCAGATCTCCCCCAGCCGCGGCGGCAGGCAAAGCACAGGCTCTCTCCTCCTCCGTGTCTCTGCAAACTCCAGCAGCCCCGTCAGCCTCCTGCTTTTGTTTAGCTCAGGCTCAGGACTCCAGAAACATATACAGAAAAACCACAGCCTGAGAAGAAGAGGAGGAGGAGGAGGAGGAGGAGGAGGAGGAAGAGGAGGAGGNGAAGAGGAGGAGGAGGAGGAGGAGGAGGAGGAGGAGGACGAGAAGGAGGAGAGGGGAGGAGGCAAAGGGAAAGGGAGGGGGCGGGGAAGCCGGGAGGCTGGGGAGAGAAGGAGGGAGGAGGGCGCCCGGAGCTCCGCCTCCCTTCCCTGATTGGCCAACAGATAAAGGACCGGCCCCTCCTCCCGTACTTTCCTCACTGCGCCTCCTCCCCAGCCTCCTTCAACTCCTCCTCGCCCGGCGCCCTGTCAATCAGAGTTCAGAGGTGGGCCGGGAAGGAGGCCGAGCTAACACCCAGTCTCCAGTCCTTAAAGGTGCAATGGTACTGTAGTTCAGCTCACTTGGTTTCCACTTTTCCTGCTGGCCTTGCTTGGGTTGCGTCCTTGAGGAAAACGTGGCTCCACTTAAATGCAAACATATAAAATTAACAGGAAAGAACACAGACGGTGTGCGTCCTCTTGCCCACGCCTGCTTTGCTTTTGCTGTGGCATCGTCATTTAAAACTTGGTTCTTTTAAGTGCTTAGACTTCAGGGAAACTGCTGAGAGCAAAAGTTTGTCAGCAGGACATTGTTATGAAACACAGTCGAGCTGTTAATATAATTAATAATGGTCTCTATTAAGTGGCAGATGTAATAAATTTTTTTTAAAAAATCTGGCACAGTCAAGTTGAAAAGAATACCAAACTGTGTCATTTTTGTTGCTTGAAAACTAAATTATGGACTCTGAAACTGAATAATGCTGAAGAAAAAGAAAGATTAATAAATAAGGTCACCAAATGAAACTAATTCAACATTTCTCTCTTCCCCCTGGGGGAAATTAGTTATTTGGCTTAAATACCTAATAAAGAAATGCATTATCACGGTCTGGTTCTAGTTTTTAATATAGTCTAATAAGTATTATTAACTGGGAGAAGAAGTGAACTGACATTTATTGAATGCCTACTATGCACCAAGTAATTTACATGAGTTATTTTATTTAATCCCCAAGACATCTCTGTGAGTTATGGATTATTATTTCCATTTTACAGAGAGGGAGCTCAGGTTAAATAATTTGTCCAAGGTCCACAGTTATTGAGTGTCAAAGCTGGAATTTAAACCCGAGTGTGACTCCCTCCCAAGGCTTAGTATTTCCAGGGCACAACCTGTTTCAGTCTAAGAGAAATGTGTGAATAGTGTTAAAAATTATTTATGTACCTATTGCCTGTCGAGTTTGAAAGGAAACTTGAGGTGCTTAAAAGGGTACATATTCCAAGATGACTCAAATTGAAAAAGGGTAGGAAAAAATAAAAAGTTAATAAAATGGAATCAGGAAAAAGGCCAGTAAGAAACCCCTAACTAAAATCTAGTATCATAGCTCCAGATGGACACAAATTTGCTTCCAGTCTTTTCATTAGGCCAAGTGAGAGGGAAAAATCTGACTTTGTACACAGTCACAATGAATATAAGATAAAATAGCAAGTCAATTACTTAGGAAAAGTCCAGAGTATTTTGTAATATAAAATAATCTATTGTGTAGCCAGCCCTCTTCCTGGATGGCAGTATAGCAAAGGAAATGCAAAGTGCAGCATAACCAGTCTGCAAAATGGAAAGCAGCCTTGCCAGGTGCTTTGAGATCCTCAAATAAAATGTTATTCTTTTCATCAGTCATTACACAAAACAAGTTTGGCAAGATAAGGAGTACTAATGAAAGCATTTCAAAGCAGTTCTTAGCAAGCTGCTTGGCACCTTTGATATGAGGACATGCAATAGAGAATATTAATTGTAATTATGATGTTATATTGCTTAATAACAGTTGTTTTATTCACATACATACCCTGACTCATAAACTGATTTTTTAAAATTAACACTAATCAAAAGTTGAGCACAAAACTGTATACTCAAATCACATATCAACCACAGTGATTGAGTTAGCATATCCCTTACAGAGTTGAAGTTACCACATCTTAAAGCATGAAAAGAAGTCAGCCTAGAGTCTCTACAAAATCAGTTTGTGAGTAATTAATTCTAATTGCAAATCTAATAAAATCTTTCCAGGCAAAGTACTGGAAAAGGTACCATCAATGCCAGAAGATCACTGGCATCTAGGAAAATTTTAGTATGGAAATAANGAGACAAATTACAAAACTCTTAGAAGAAAACGTAGAAGTAAGCTTCATGACACTGGACTGGGCGATTATTTCTTAGATATGACTCCAAAAGCACATGCAATAATACTAAAAATAGGTAATATTTATTGACTGCATACTATAATTATCATATTCAAGGTGTCTTGTTAATTTAATCACCACAGCTGTCTTACCCCAATACCTATGCTTTTAACAATTATGCTAGAGTGTGGCCCAGATATATTTTGATATATAATAAATGCTATAGAAGTAATAACAAGCCCTAGACATCCTGTAAGAAATGAGAGAAGGGGACAGGTGAGGTGGCTCACACCTGTAATCCCAGCACTTTGGGAGGCAGAGGCGGGTGGATTACCTGAGGTCGGGAGTTTGAGACCAGCCTGACCAATATGGAAACCCCATCTCTACTAAAAATACAAAACTAGCTGGCATGGTGGTGCATGCCTGTAATCCCAGCTACTCAGGAGGCTGTGGCAGGAGAATCGCTTGAACCCAGGAGGCAGAATTTGGAGTGAGCCAAGATTGCGCCATTGCACTCCAGCCTGGGTAACAAGAGCAAAACTCCATCTCAAAAAAAAAAAAAGGAAAAAGAAATGAGAGAAGGGAGTAACCAGTTAGAGTGAATAGAAGTAGGCTTTGCAGTGGGTCTAAAGGAAGAGCCGGACCTGGAGGGCTAGGTTAATGCACTTGACAGGAGTACAGAGTAGCTATTCAGGCAGAATGGAAATTATATTAGGTATGATTGGTAGGACTTTTAACAGCAACATTTGTGCTTTATTTGGTGGGCACTAGGGATACACTGAGGTAAGTTGTTTCTTTCAAAGATAGAAACAGAAAAGCATGTTTTAGGAAGAATTATCTGATTACTCCATACTTCGGGCAACAATTAATTGGTTACCTGAATCATTTGGCAAAGAAAGATGAAATTAGGAAAACAAATTAGGAAAGTGGCAGTAGAAATGGAAAAGAGAGGACAATTTTGAGGAAGATCTTCAAGATAGAGTCAATAGAAATTTATAACGGATTTTGTGTGAGTGGGAAGGATAAAATAAATGTCTTCAAGCTTGAATGAGAAGAATGCAACGGCATTAAAATAATAATAACTATAGATAGAATGTGTTGAGTGCTGATTGTGTTTCATGCACTGATTGTACATTACCACTTAGTTTTAACAATTTAACACTTCATTTAAATAACTTCTTTATGAGCTTACAGTCTCCATTTTGCAGATGAAGAAACCAAGGTCCCTAAATGTTGACTTACTAGACCAAGTATGATTTAAAAATTCTTATTTTTAAATACATTACAGAGAATAAAGGACATAAAGAGGAGGGAATACTATAGATGAAATAGAAGTAGAATCTTCAGACTCACACCCGTAATCTCAACCCTTTGGGAGGCCAAGATAGAATTGCTTGAGCCCAGGAGTTTGAAAACAGCTTGGGCAACACAGGGAGACTCTGTCTCTATTAAAAAAAAATTAAAAATTAATGGGACATAGTGGCACTATCCTGTAGTCCCACCTACTTGGGAGGCTAAGGCAGGAGGATTAGTTGAGCCTGAGAGGTAGAGGCTGCAGTGAGCCATGTTTATGCCACTGCATTCCAGCCTTAGCAACAGAGTGAGACCCTGTCTTAAAAAAAATTAAATTGACAAAAAAATTATAATCTTCTTTTATTTGCATTTAGAAACTTCTGAAAATAAACTCATGCATGCAATTTCCGCAGCTTATGGGTTGTGACAGGGAATGGATAGTGTTTTTTTGCTCCTTCCATATCTCAGCAGGGCTCTCGTTGTAATAGACATTTAAAAAATATATTTTAAAAGAATTAATGATGCTAGTAATCATGCTTTATTTTTTTCAGAATAATAAGTGAACCCCACTGAATCACATTTTAAAAACATGAGTCATTATCAAAATTTGTCCAACTAGCAAGGTAGCTCTCAGATTGACCTTAATCTGACATGTTTACAAAGTCATCTTACTATGTTACCTCTATTTTAAGATTTAGTTTACCCCCAGGATTCCTTTTCAAACTTTACTGAAAGCCCACTCGTACATATTCCCATCTTCATTAAGGGACAAAGAGCAGGTGCAAAGAGTTTATGCAAGGACCCCTGTCTATTCTCTAGCAAACAAAATGGTTGCAAAGAGATGGGTCCCTTTGCATGATCTCAGAAATAAACTCAATACCCATAAGATGATATAGCCTTTATCATCTGAGCTGGTATTCATCTATGTATATTTGTGATTATATTTGAATGGGCATCTAGGTTTTTCTAACTTTTCTGTTTATGTAGGAAAAGGAATTCTTCTCTGCCCAAGTGGGTCAGAACCAGGGATAGTAAGCAACGATAGTACCTTAGGCAGTTGATGGCATCTATTTTTATCACCAATAATTCTTGTCTTTCTCTTTCAACTATTCTCTTAGCACTAATTTGTTGCTTTCCTTAAACATTTTACTTACTTCTCTACCTCCATTCCCCTTGCCTTCCTTTTCTTCTGCCCAACCTCATCTGTCTTGTTCACAGAGATCTTCTCCCTCCCAATTTGGTCCTATCTCCTTGCCTTACTGGGCAGGTCTTGAAGCAGTGCTGGGACCACCAGCCTGAGTGGAGCATGGGAGTTATATGTTAGAGCAGGAAAAGCCTACAACGGGGATTTCTAAACCAGGGTTCATGAATGAGTTTCAGGTGTTCTGTGAACCCCTAGAAATTATAGACAAAATTTGGTGATGATATAGTATGGCTGTGTCCCCGCCTAAATCTCATCTTGAATCCCCACATGTTGTGGGAAGGACCCAGTAGGAGGTAGTTGAATCATGGGGGCAAGTCTTTCCTGTACTGTTCTTGTGATAGTGAGTAAATCTTACAACATCTGATAGTTATTA